GGGGTCTAATTCTTTCAAGGTAGAATAATATTAGATTTTTAAATGTATTTTAATATATACAATATATTCAGAATATCAAGTTACAATAAAATAAGCTAACTACATATCCTAAAGCAAAGCAGTGATAAAAATAGAGCTTTTATTCACAAAGTAAAAATAGTATTAATGAAATTCCCATCTGCAACAGTTCAGTTCCCTCAGTAATTAGTAAGAATCACACATTTAATTAGTTATTAAATAGATATTTTAAATTATATTCAAACCATTTAGTGGTCTTGATCATGACAAGACATACATAAGAAACTAGAATATGATGGATCCAGTATGACCTACTGGCCCTTCAGAACATCTCTAGTGACCAGGATCATGATCCAACAACATAGTGGGAATTTTACAAACATAAAAAAATTAACTTGCCTATAACAAACTAGTTTGTCATTGAAGTGGAGTTGTTTTGTTTTGGGGATTTTTTTGGGTGGGTTGGTTTTCGGGTTTCCTTTTTTTTTCCCCCACTAGATAGAAAACCTTTGAGCTGAAAATGTTAAAATGAACCATGGTTTATTCTGGGAAGATTCCATTCACACATCATGCAGGAGTGGGCTGTTACAGAAAGCTGACTAAAAGTCTGCATTCATTACTGAATCTAAAATAGGTTCTCATTTTGTATACATAATAAGATAAATTACTTCAGTGTATCAGACTCTCAGGTAAGTACGTAGTTAAATACTTTGGTAAATTCATAGTTAGGCACTTGGTCATGGCAGACATTTCCTTAATAATTGTCTGTGCTTGAATTAAAAAATCTTGGTTTTTACAGTCTCATTTATAATTGAGCCTTCTGTTGTAGCTCTTCTTATGTGCAAGTAAAATGGTTCTTCACAGAATGCTAAAAAAGACAACGTAGCACATTGTCAGATGCTGCAGCGCATAGAAGTATCTTAAAGAAAACATGGAAAAAAAGAAATAAAAGCCAAATTGACTACAGTTCAGTATCAGGAATGAATTAGTAGAGCCTGAGTGGAGAAGGAAGTAAAACTTGACAAAAATAAACTTATTTTCAGGACTTTCTCAAATCCAGAGGTGTTGGGTAAAAGAAAAGAAAATGAGCTATCCACATTATAGGCATCTCAATCTTTTTTCAGAGCTTGATATCTCATTGTTCTTCAGTCAATTTAATATTATGTTTTCAGAATAAATTCAGGACTGTCATGAAGAAATTTGCTGATTGCAAAATTGTGAGGAATTGTCAGTAGAGAGGAAGAAGCTTGTATTTGAGTGCAAGAGCAAGAAGAATATAATGAAGTTTAATAGTATTATATAGTAAAGGCCATGTTGCAAGACTAATCATAAGACTATCTGGATGATGCTTTTAGTCATATTTAGTTTTAGTTAGTCCTGTGAGGAGCAGGAGTTTGAACTTGATGATCCTTATGGATCCCTTCCAATTTGAGATATTCTGATTCTACAGTAACTGTGGTCTCATTAATTTGGAAGTGTCTATGGAGGACAATTTCCTGGGTATATTAGTCAGATGAATCACCAGTGTGATGTAATCTGGGGGGGGGGGGGGGAAGTTGTAATTAGAAAAGGGGGTGATAAAATATCATCTAGAATGTAGGTAGGTTTCTGGTCAGCCATGTTCAAGGAAGATAAATTCAAATTGGAAAATGTGCTTTCCAAGACTCTAGAAATTGTCAGAGGAAAAAAAAAGCAAACAAAACTTCATGTAGTTTAGAGGTGAATTAATTTAGACGGTAGAAGGTAGAAGTGTGTTCTAGGACAGCCTTCCATGTGGGAGAACACACCTTACATAATTTTAAAATGGAAATAGATATGACTAAATTCAGCAGGCCAAAGGTCCAGAGCTCCATTCCAAAAGATCTGAACCTCCACATGTTCTAGATTATTTTTGATATAGCACTCAAACTTCTGTAAAAACTCTTCATTTAATACCAGAAACAGGGTGGGGTGTCCCTGTAATAATGTCTACATCTTCCATGGTTTTTTTTTTGCTTTCCTTTCTTAGTAAAGATGAATAAATATTGGAAACATAGCTGAAAAGTACTTAGTTAACAGGGTCACAGTGCTGCCTAACAACTATGAAGCAGAATTAAGGCTGTGTTTACATTTAAAAAGCCTGTGACAGTTTTTGAGTTTCTTTCCTCACCATTTTAGACAGGGAGATGTGTTTCTTAGTATGAACTTCCTGTCTTCTTGTGGGATGTATAGGAGCCCCTGCCAGGTATACTGAAGATACTCAGGGACAATTCCTACTTTAAATGGAACTGCTGGAGCATTTCTTATTATCTTATTGGAAAAAGGCAACCAACAAACCTTACACCTTTTGGGCTCATTAGATAAAGTTGAAATTATGTATGATTTTAGTGCTGTACTGACAAAACAACTGGTAGAGCTGCTAGTGACAAGGATAGAACATTAGGGTCCACATGGTAGTTACATACCTCATACTGATGATACTATTTTAGGATGTATGTATGTATTGGCAATGAAGAAAAGGGAGAGAATGGTATCTTCCCTTATCTCCTGTCTTTCAGCACCAGTTTCCTTCTTCTAAACTTTGGATACAAGTTTTTGGAATAAAAAACTTGCCCATTTTCATTTACTCAGTTTTCGGAAAAGAGTAATCTAATGCAAGTGGAAGAGATCAAATGGTTAGTCATCCACAAATCCTTATTAACTGTCTACAAGCATTGATTCAGTGCCATATCCCTTGAAGCAAAAAGGAAGAGGAAAGAAATTCGGAGGAATTTCTTTTTGTTTAAATTAGTTTAAAAATGTGACTAGTGTAATTATGAGGATTGTACAGAAGACAGATGTTCCACTATGTAAAATTTCGTCTGTTTCAAACTGAAATGGAAGTGTTTTTTTCTTCTTTAAATCCCATACTCCCTCCATGCATATACATAAACACTAAATGTTCAAATAAATTTGGTTTCAATGTGAAAAATTGAAGCAATTTATTTGAAAATGTCAAAGCAAGACATCTTTTCTTATACTTTTCCCTCTTAATTTTCAGCAAAATGAAATTTTAGAACAGTAGGACTAGATTTTGTGAACCATATTGATTTTGATGAAACTCCATATTTAAGTTATATCAGTTCCTTTTATCCAAATGTCTCCATGCCTTTCTGTTATAGTATGTATAAATTGTGGTTAATTTCACTATATCGTGGTGAAATTTGTGAAAAATTATATGTGTAATTTAAAGGAAAAAACCACCGATGAACTAAAACAGACTGGTATACTATTTTAGCCAGCTTGTCCAGAATATACATTTCTGATAAAAAGGAACTTACAGTGCAAAACTGTTAAAATAATTCTGAATCTTCATGAATACTTTAAAATATTATTCTTTGTGGATAGTTCTATTTACTTATGTGTGCTTTTTTTTTCAGAATAGAATGGAAAGAGTGGTATAAGCTATATGGAAATTTCCATTTCACATGTAATAATGGCTAAATGATTTTACTGAAGAAATGCAAAGAAAGTAATTTTAAAATATAAGAAAAGTAGTGTTCTGGAAATCACTTTTTGCATCGTCTGAGACTGTGGGAATAAAAAACATGTATAGAATCATGCTGTATATCAGGTTGTCTGAGTTGTTTTGTCCTAATGGCTATTACACGTTTAAAACTTACCGAGAAGGAACATCTGATTGTGCTATACTATATTTTATTTCTAGTTATAACAACCATTTGGTGTAATAGTCCAAAACCAAGTTATGCTTAAAAATGTAGGTTTGTGGGTTTTTTTAAAAATTAATGTTAATAAATTCAGCATTTTGCATATTTATTTGTTTATTTCTATGTAACTCACTCCAATCTGTCAATGTCTTTTTTATACTGGTGAGCCCAGAACTGCATCCAGCACTCCAAATATGGCCTCACCAGTAGTGAGCAGAGGAGAAGGATCCCCTCCCTTGACCTGCTGGTAACATTTTTCATAATGCAGCCTGGGGTGCTGTTGGCCTTGTTGGCTGCAGGGGCACATTGCTGGCTCATGTCCAATTTGAGGACCTCATAGATCCTTTTCTGAAAAGCTGCTTACCAGCTAGTCTGTCCATAGCACATACTGGTTCCCTGGCACAGGACTTGACATTTCCCTTCATTGAACTCCATGACATTTCTGTCAATCTGTGATCAAAGAAATTAGCAGGTGCTAATTCACAGGCATCATCATAAGTGAAAAAATGTCCCATAACTGAAACTGAGCCCAGTGGGTTGACTGGTCTTCCTCTGTTGTAATCTCTGCTTCTGCATGTGTCATTGACTAAATGTTAAAAAAATTTATGATGGTGATGGGTAAAAATAAAGAGAACTTTAGGATCACTCAATTTTAATTTTCTGTCCATTCTGTAGTGAAGAACAATAATAGCTTGGTTTCACCTTACAGACAAGTACACTTATGAACATAAATGTGTATGATTGACATATATCAAATAAGAAAGTATAGTTTTTTGAGATTTTTTAATTAAGAAAGTTTAGCTTTTGGGTAATTTTAAGAGGCATTTCATATTTTAATTCAGAAATTGTCTTTTCTTAAAAATAAATTTATGTCTTCCTCAGTGGGTTAAGAGTTCCCATTCGTTAATATTTCCATTAAGTAGCTGCTTAGACATTTATAATATATGAGAAAACATTGGATTTTTGGCAATGTACATTTTGGCTAGGAATGTTATATAAGTTGGATTAATTATTTATTAATATAATAGTTGTTTTGATATATAGGAATTTAATTTCTTAATATCAACAAGCAAGTTGATTGTCTAGCAGCACCTAGCATTGTGTATATATATATATATATATGTATGTGTGCACAAACAACTAAAGCCAGCTTGTTTTGATTGTAGAAAAGCTTTGCATTTCCAGAAAATCTGCCACACCTCACCTTTCTTGGAATGAAAGGTTATGCCCAGCCTTTCCTGTTGATAGAACAAGCTAATCCTGATCTTCCTTTTGTTTGTTTTCTTTCCATCACAGGAGTCATCAGGACTGCCTTGCACAACATGGACAGGGAAGCCAGAGAGCATTATTCCGTTGTCATTCAAGCCAAAGATATGGCTGGGCAGGTCGGAGGGCTGTCAGGGTCAACAACTGTAAATATCACACTCACTGATGTCAACGACAATCCACCCAGGTTTCCTCAGAGTATGTACAATTTCAGCATGTAATTGATTTGAAAATAGTGTTGATTTTCACTGAAGTAGGAAGCTATTAGTGAAATCAAATTAGTATTCAAATTCATGGGGAGAAGACGTGTTTTCAGATGAAGCAGAGAGGTGGCGTAGCTAGAATATTGAAACCAGTAAAGATTTTTTTCAGTTAATCACTGAGTAAGAGTGAGATGGGTGACAAAGGAATACTCTTCTCATATATGTTATTCTTCAGTTCTTTTTGAATGTATATTTCAGTTACTGACTGATTTTGATCCCACAAGTGAATTACATTGTTCCAATGGTAGACAACAACAAAAGGTAACACATTAGAATATTGAATCCAGCATGCCTTTGGCTGCTTCCATACGTATCTGTCATTTTTTTTCCTCTCCAAACCCATGCAAACTTTTAAGATCACTTTTTACATTACAGATGGTCAAAACCTAAGCTGTTTCTCACTGTTGTTGAGCTACACTGGAGTCTGCCTTTACCATAGTTAAATGAATTGTCAATGTTAATGTCAGTCTGACTGTTCCGACATGCATGTATGAAAAGTATATGCTAGAATGCTATTAGAATATCTTAATATGACCACTAATAGGAAGTTCATTTCTATCCAACTCATTGTGTGCACATTCATCTGCAGCTGGAGTCTTGTAGGAATTCTGAATTCAGTCGACAATTTATTTTAAAGTCTTCTGAAATGTAATTGCATAGCTAAACCTGCTTTCCTTTGCAGACTGGCTCAAGGCCAGTAAGAATATTGTAATTTGGACTCAGACGTTGTGTGAGCCCTTGTAGAACATAATGAACTAGTAGCTATAGGTACATCCAAGGGGAAAAGCATTAAGCTTTTTGAATTAGAAGATTTATAAACAATAATAGGGATCACAAAGCTCCGGGGAAAAACAAAGCTCCCTGGCAATATACATTATGTAAAATCTGGTCAAGCAGTAAGAAGGCTCATTAAAAGTGTTGTAGAAATGAATATTTTTTCTGTGCCTCACAAACACATAAAAACATAAAGCCTTTGAAACACAGCCTTAAATAAAGTATATTTGATTTTATGTTCCACAGAATTGTCATTGCATCCATCACTCTATTTAATACTTCCTAACTATTGGAAAGGCAAAAGGTAAGGCATATCTTTGAACAAATGTAACATCTAAAATATTTAAAGTAGAAAAAATGTCCTAAGTTTCCTGCAAACTCAGTGGCAAATAGATCCCTACTTACTGAGCTTCAAGAATTGGCCTCTTTATTTTAAATTGAAGGTTCGGGATATTAAATTGACTAGCAGGCAGAACCGTATGTTGGCAAATACATTTCTTCATCTGTATTAATACTTTTTCAGAAATTGAAAGAGTATAAAATATTAAGATTGTATTCTGTACATTTAAGGGATTCTAATAATTGCAAAAAAAAAATTGAAAACTATGAAACATCATTTCACATTTAATGAAATCTCCTTATTTAACAAAACAAAGTAAAAAAATGTATTTTAACATTTATCTTTTTTAACAGAAAATATTAATTGTATAACAAGTCTTGCAGAGTACAAACATTTGCTTTATCTTTCCTTACACAGGGTTCCTATACCACAGTTATGACTGTTACATTGCTTTCTTACTCCTTTTCAACAAGTATAATTTAAACCCTTTGCAAAAGAACAGTAGCTATATGTTAGCCATACAGAATGAAAGTATAGACGATCTAAAATGAGGCCATCTTAGCATCATAAACTATTACAATAATACACAAGTATTGCACTAATAGAAATAACGTCATTGTTTATTTTTCTTCTCCTTTCTTTGTATGCCATGATTTTCAGTTAAATTTCTCTTCAATTTCCTTATTAGACGGAATGCTAGATGAGACTTACTGAGGCTTGTCACATTCAGAATTGAATTCAAGGGAAGTGCTAAGCAAAACTGCATATATCAAGTGTATAACCCTTGGGACAGGCTGAGCCTCAGCTAAACTACAGACTCTTTTGGTTAGTTTCCTTTTCTCCATTACCGTACTTGTGAGTTTTGAATCTGACTTTTAACTGCATGAGTACTTTAATTGAGAACATGCTGGGAAGCACATCTGATTGATGCTTTATTATTTGTTTTATTTAGAAATATGTTTTACTGTACATACTTAAAATATCTTTCTGGCTTTGGTAGATCAGTGTTCATTAGAGATGCATATCGAGTAAGGTATGCAGGATGTGTCTCCCATAAAGAAACACTTTTAAAATCTATTTAAAACTTAGAAATAACGGTTGCAAATATATTTGCTTAAATTAATTTACTGTGCTTTTTTCTGTACTCACTGTAAATATAACTGACTTTCATTCAAAATAATTACTAAGAGAAGAGCTACAGGTTTCCAAAATACTAAAAAGTCTAGGAGAAAGAATATTAAACATTACTGCATAATTTTATCAGTGTAGCGGTTGCAGAGTTTAAATACTTGGTAATAATAACCTCTGAAATAGGAAACATAGCTGAAAAATTTTGCTTGCAAAACACAGTAGCACATCTCAGGAGTAGGCACAGCATTGTGAATTCAGCAGAAGAGTAACCTGAAACCTCAAATATGTTTTGGATATCAATTACTTCAGTGCATCTTGTACAATACTGATTTCTTTTTCTTCATTACCACAGCTTTCCTTTCTTTAGAGACTCCAGTTATAAATGAACTGTCTATTTAATGTAAGCTGACAGACAGTGCTCTGCATGGAAAGATTTTTCTTTTCAATAATCAGCATCTCTCAGTTCCTGTTAGTTTTACCATTGATGGATCCCATTAGTTGATGGCTGAGGGTCCTAATTTCATAGTCATAAATTCATTTCAGTAATCTGATAGAAAATCAGAAAATCTACTGATGACAGTGTTATCAGCTTGAGTTACATCAGAATTTTCTGTACGCTTTTATTTCATTAATTCTCTCTGGTCTTGTTTAGGATGAATAGATTCTGCATGTTTTGCTTTGTTTAGGATTGATAGATTCTGATTGCATCAAGAGCATCACACTGGCCAGATGCTTCCATTGACATGTTTTGTACATCAAGTGCTAATGATTACACTCTGGACAGCATGTAGGTCTTTAGTTATTCTGTTTAAAGTCTGATTTTACAAGGAAATTATTTCCCTGATACCCCATTTGTAGATTATGGGGTTTTGGTACATCTCTAGCTCAATTGTTCATGATAAAGCAGAATTTAAATACAAGTCATGGCTTAAAACATTTTTATAAAGCTTCACTGTTGAGGCTTGGGTGTTTCATGGCAGTAGATAGACATAATGTGAAATTATGTATACGCATAATTATTTTGGCCTCACTTTTTATGTCAATTTATGAAAAGTACCGAGCCATATTTAAGTAGTAATGTTGTATGAAGATATTCCAGTTAGTTCTGAAAAAGTAAACTCATATCCCAAAAGCAGATAATAACTCTGTTCTGTGCTAGTAAGGTGTCAACTATCTGGCCTTGTTCATATAATACATTAGCTAATTAAATGCAAAGGTATCTGCTGTTAATTTTCTTTTAGAATTTATACTCCAGTATAGTCTTTCCCATTTCCCCAGTTCAACATAGTACATCCAGATCCTATGATCCCCATGCATAACTGTCAGCATCCTCCCCCTCCCCACTGCCAAGCCCTATGGCGCTGTCCCATCCTCCTGTGGTGCCTCGTTCAGAGCTATCTGCCTGGCGACTGACCACTTGGCTGCTGCCAAATGAGATGAGGAAAGCAGAATTTTCTCTGATTTTCTTTTAGCAGTTCTTTATTTTCTATTCAACCAGTAATTTTGAAGAGGCTTGTAAAATCATAATGTCTTTGAGACCTCTGCCCATTACTTAGGTATGCCTGAAGGGGAAAGGGGTTAAAAGTTACTGGAGACTCTTGGATTAAAATGGTTATAGAAATTGCGCGCCCTCAGGAAACTCAGATTTAAAACAAAGCAAGAAAAGGACTTTCTTAGATATGCCTGAAGGGGACAGGGGTTAAAAGTTACTGGAGACTATTGGATTAAAATGGTTATAGAAATTGCGTGCCCTCAGGAAACTCAGATTTAAAACAAAGCAAGAAAAGGACTTGATTACTGGTTTGGCTTAAGATTACTGACATCTGATCAACTGCATGTTTGTAAATTAGATTTGGTTCATAGCTGGTAATATAGTTTCCTTTTCATTGTGTCATTTATGTGATGATGGTGAGTCCAGCAATGATCCAGTGTCCAGGGAGTATTAGGCAGCATTTAATTTCAGAAATTGTTCTACATTTAAATGTTGCATATTTAATAAGATGATTTTTTTTTTTCTCATTATAATGACAGGAATACCTTTTTCCTATTGCACAACACACCACTTACTACCTTTGTGGCTATTGCCAATAGCTGCTAGCTGTAACATATTAAAGGTAAAATGTATTGCAATTGAATAGTCCCAAGCATCAGTTATTGCTGAAGGGACGCTTAGATCTTTTAGTATGACCTTAAATCACAATAGAGGGACATGTAGAAAGTTGATTTAAAGCCAGATTTGCACAGAACCCTAATATTTATTTTCTTCAGAAGAATTATTCCTGCATATAACTTGATTCCCTTTCTTCAAAAGTGAGGTTACCATTCTGGAAATTTTATTTTATTCTAATTTTTCTCATTCCTGTGTTCCACAGACAAGTTTTTTGTACTACCGTATTCACTGTTTCTGCACATGGTTCACAATTTAGGATGTGCTTTTCTAGAATTATAATTTACATATTACCAACAATTTATAGCATATGTGTTCCAAGATGTCTAAAGAAATACAGATTATAATAATTTTATTTTTTAAATTATTTTTTTCCATCTTACAGTTTTAGGGCGGATACCTTTTTCCTATTGCACAACACACCACTTACTACCTTTGTGGCTATTGCCAATAGCTGCTAGCTGTAACATATTAAAGGTAAAATGTATTGCAATTGAATAGTCCCAAGCATCAATTATTGCTGAAGAGACGCTTAGATC